GCATCAGGGGCAGTACACCCCCCCACCCACCCCCACCCACGGCGTCAGGGCTGCTCCCTGGCCTCTGACAGCTGGGTATGGCGCTGGTGTGGAATCTTACAGCCAGTAATCAAACCTGCAACTCCCCAGCCGTAGTAGAAGTGGCCTCTCCGCGTTCAGCGCCCCCCCCAGGCCTGTGGGGGCCTGTTATATACCTGCATTGGCAGCACTTACAAATTAATCTCTGCTCTCCATGCACAGTGGCCAAAGCCATTGTTTCATACCCCCCCAGTGCCTCAGGCCTGATCCCCCCCCCCCGCAGGCTGCAGCCAGTGATTTATTGACTGGCAGCGAGCGGAAGCCTGCAGAGCTGGGAAGACGCGGGGGGGGGGGGGGTTTGGGCAGGTGCCTCAGAGGGTTTCAGTGTTCGCAAACACACGTGTGCATCCCCGTGTGGGCGTACAGACCTCTTTCGCGAGGGTGGGGGCATGTTTACAGAAATTATGGGGGGGGCGCAGTTAGATAACAGGCATGTAGGCATGTGTATACATACACATTACATACCACATTCCGCACAGCGGGACATAACTGGACTGCACTACAGAAAAAGAGAGAGAGAGAGAGAGAGAGAGAGCGTGGGGGGGTAAAGACGCAAAGGCAGCCCATCCAGATGTTGATATGTATGCATGGCATCAACTGTCTCTGGGTTTGTTTTAGCAGACACTCATTATTAATAATCATACCAATTAATATTGATGATTAAAAGTTGCCATTGCTGATTAGGCTCGGCACATGAAGAGGCCGTTTAAAATTGCAGATCAGCCAGACCTTATTGTCCTTATTAAAACCAGGGAGCACACGAAGCACAAGTACAGAAAAACACGGAATTTCCCAGTCTATCCAGTTAAGGGCTGGACAGAAAATGAGCTTGGTCACTGGTTTCTCCACTCCTTCTGCTGGTTAGGGTCAGGGTTCACAGGGAAGCCACTTGCTTAGTGAAAACGAGGCAGACAAATGTTTTAGCGGGAGGGAACATAACCAAGGGGAAAGGACCTCAGTCACATGACATAATTTAGTACCATGTGACTGATGGCACATGTATCAGGAAAATGGCAGGCAGCTGGGCCCTGGCGTTTTTGTATATTTTTTGTGAATTAATACATTTGACCTCCGATCCACTATGGAAAAGGGGGGTAATAAATAAAAGGGGCATCGCCCCCCTCCCCAGGCCACTAGTCGATAGGATTTAACTGCGCTGGCTTGCCGGGGCCGCTAGACCATCTTCGGCAGAATTCCTAATGAAGCGACTCGTTGGCGGGGTGGGGGAGGGGCATCTGGAGAGCTGCGAGCGCGCTACATCATCGTCAACATCAACCCCTCACACGGAGCTGGCCCCCTGTTTAACTAGAACCTCCCGGAAAGCCCCCCCCCCCCCAAACAGAGCTCGCTGTTATCCCAGGGACCACAGCGACTGCGGCAGCTGTAGGCATCGATAATTCATCTGTTGCCCGCCGCCGCGAGTCTCTCTTTCTGCCGTTTAGACGAGAAGCGCGTGGGCCTCGAGCAGGCNGCGTGGGCCTCGAGCAGGCTGGGGGGGGGGGGCACTCCCCCGCCTGTCTGTCCCGGGAAAAGCCACAGCCCCCAAAGCAGTGGGCTTTTTCATACTCTTTATTTCTGTTTTCTTGATTTAACGTCCCTCAATTAAAGGTCTCGAATGACTTGTCCCAAGTCTCCGACCATGAGGTGCTCCAGCATTAGCCCAGTGCTCCTGGGGGGCACCGACATCCCTGCACTGCCGCCATTAGGGACGCATGTTCCTCGCTGACATTTTCTGCCTGTGCTGTTTTAGTGTCGTCGGTCATAACAGATGTGGCGCCCCCTAGAGGCGCGGCCAAGCTGCGGGCTGTGCCGATTGGAGAAGATAGGAGTGTATAGGAAAGGCTGTGGCGGTACAGTGGGCTACCCCAGGATCCCCAACAGCAAGGCCTGTCATTCCAGGCAAGAATCAGATCCCAGACACCAAAGGTGCGCTTTTTTTTTTTTTTTTTTTTTTGAGGAGTGCAAAGCATATCGTTCCTGTCCAGGAATCATAAGAGATGAGATATCGGGTCCTGCTAAAGGGAGGAAGGCAAAATATATCAAAATTGAAAGCTCTCCTGTAAAGATCGGATTGAATGGGTCTGAGATGTGGTGATAGGATTGTGGGCCTGTCAGACTCCAGCAGAAGTGGGGATAGGAGCTCGGCCCGAGAGTGGAGACGGGGCTGGAGGACTGGAGGGGTGGGGGGGAGGATAAATCCGAATACTCCCTCATGCATGACCCTGCATTAGCAGGCTCCATCCCCTAGGGGTCAGCGTTTCCCGCTCTGCATACATTTTCCACTCTTGTTTGCGTCCCATAATATAATGCCATAGTGATCCAACGGAGACCAAAGATCTAGCTGCACAACAGTGCATCTAAACACCCTCTGCCCAAAAGCCCCCACTCTGTACTCTCAGCTTCTTTTAGCGTCTTTGAGTTTTTGAAAAACACCATATTAATGAAATCTATTATTATCATTCTACGGGGGACCATAATGAATGATAATGAACACATGAATAAGAACAGCATTTCCCATGATGCAATGCGGGTTGGCCGCAAAGGGATTTTGATAGAGAGGCGAGTGAGTGGAACGCGCGAATGAAGAGCCATTAAACACGCCATCAAGGGTGTTCATTTCCAAGGCACAGAAAGTCACACAGCATGAAGAATAATAATATCCATTCGAGTGCACACAAAATATTAGGCATGAAAATTAAACATGGAGACCAATTCATAACGCCTGCAAGCAAACATAAAACAATTCAGCACTCTCCGTCTGGGGTATTCCAGCGTATTCCCCCGACGACCTGTGGCACCTCCCTGGAGCCGGGGGGCCGCCGTCCTCCAGCCCATCACCAGTCACACACAGGTATGTCAGAACAAGGCAGACAAACTGCTACCAGGCACATCGATCCAATAACAGTCATATAAGGGCCATGTTTAAGGTCCATTCCGGGCAGGACGGTGAACCAAATCATGTGACTCAGAGGTGGGAGGAGCATACGGGGACTTAATGACGGATTTAACCAACTAACGGGGAGGCACAGAACCAGAACTCTCGCTTCTGGCATCAGCGCACAGGAGTCTAGGCCCATGATCTGTGAGGGGAAATGAGTCACGTGGATCATATGTGACTGATAGCAAGAGGCTCATCTGAGGTGGATAAATGTCCTTGTCACCTGACTTAGCCCATCTTACATCATAATATAAGGGCTGGCTGCCCTGCTGACAAGATTTACCTTGTGAAATAAGATACTTCCTTAAAGTAATTGTTTGTTTTTCATACAGTGAAAGAATAATGTGACACTTAATACAAATCCATACCTCTCCCCGCCTGCCCAGATGAAAAAGAAAAGCTTAGCATGCAGCACTGGAGGAAACGCAGCCTCTCACTCTTGGTGGTGCCGTTACATATTTATGATGTGCCGCTGACACCTTGCCCAGGATGTACCCCTGTCTGGTGCCCTGTGCCATCTGGGGTAGGTTCCCGACCCACCTGAAACCCCGACCAGGGTTTACAAGAAGAATGGACGGACACTGGCTGGATAATCAAAACCTAAACGTACCACTAGAATTTAACAGTAAATGATGTAATGTTTTGTATCCTCTACTTCTGTTTTACTCCCATGTTCCAAAAAGGCTAAACAACAATTATATAACGATTTACGCAGAGCCGTCTGGTGCAGCTCGATGCCCAGTCGATGCAGGCCGGCGAAGGGGCTGCATCTCTGTCTGAACACAAGCGCAGTTCAGGGTGAGCTAGACCTCATTACGCCGCTTCTGTCCATCTGAACTGTCAGCCCCGGTCTGTGAAATACGGCCAATAAACACGAGCGCCAATCCGTCATGTGACCTCAGACGGCGAGCGGGAGAGATATGAGCGGAACAGAAGCGAGATGCACTTTAATGCTCTCGATGCGGACGCGCATACATAATGAGCAGCTGGTCAATTACTAAAGCGCACTGGGATTCTTTCTGAATGCAGGGAGAGCTTAACAATAACATAGTATTAAAGACATGAAAACTCACCAATAACTATAGTATTGTGAATACTATTGAAATCACATTCCCCATCAAATTTCTCCTATTAATATGCTAATAAGGACAATTTGAGCCAAGGGTGCAACTTCCTTTCTTTGCCTGTGGTATAAGTCAGTGTTTCCCAACCCAGTCCAACCCCAGACAGTCCATGTTTTTGCTCCCTCCCAGCTCCCAGCCAATCAGGAACACCGAATACCTGGTACAGGTGCGCTGGGAGCTGAGAGGAAGCGAAAACGTGGACTGTCCGGGGTTCCCCGAGGACTGGGTTGGGAAACACTGGTATAAGTAAGGGACCTTCATGACAGGAAAGCAATCCCTTATTTGTAGCGCAATTACATTCAGCCTCCACCAGGAGGCGCCTGAGGGGGTAAGGGCCCGGGGTCTGCACCTGTGAGTGCTTGCTCTTTAGCTCGGAGAGAGAGGGCCGTGTTTTCTCATTTTCGCCGAACCCCATGCGCCGCCTGGCCGTGTGCAGGGATTACACACTTACCTGTCTGCAAGGGCCGTGTTACAAGAAAAACTTCATTATTAACCAATGATATATTTCAAATCATTAAATGACACTCCAAAGACCAATCGGCTTTCAGCTAGGACCGGTGCCCCTATGGTCCGCCCCCGCATACGCCCCTGACAATGCATTTATGTAGGTGTCACACAAAGCTTTAACCTAACAGCAGGGACATTTCTGGAAATTTCCACTTGAGCCATTTTCACGGACAAATCACCCAACGGGCATAAAAAAACATTCTTCTGAGAGATCAAGGACATATTTGAAAGAAAAGTTGTATCTGGATCTGCAATGAACATTGACCATCTTGCGGAACATTAGGAATTAGGCAGATTTACATATAGCAGGAAAATAAATAAAGAAACGGTGGATAAGAAAACAGTGGCCTTACCTAGGACTCCAAGCCGGTAGTTAACAGTGATGACAATGACATTTCCATAACTTGCCAAGATGCTTCCATCAAACATATTCCCAGTTCCTTCCATGTACGACCCACCATGGATAAAAACCATCACTGGTTTGGGGCTACCACTTTCCCGGATGTCTGGAAGAGGAAAACACGTCATTAAAAGGACATCAACCCCAGGCGATGTAACTTGCAGACTGACTCACGCATTGGTGTCACAGGCAGTTCGGACAGATGTTTCCTAAGCAACATTGTGCCATGTTCCCCATAACTGGCAATCCCTTTAATCTGGGGCGAGGTTGGCATCAGGAAAAGTTCTGGGCAAAAATGGTGGTACGTGCATCAGGTAGTTCCATTCCAGCTGGGAGGTGGAAAATATTCACAACCACTACTGGACAGCTGGGGGCCTCAACGCAGATTAAACACAGACCCCTCCCCCCCCAAAAAAGAAAAAATGAAGGAGGAAGCAAACATCCGGAAAATACTTCTGCTCCATGATGAAAGAGCTGTAATCCAGAAGTGAGGTATCATTCTTCTCCGCTTCTCTGTTCCACATCTCTGGAGCCTCACACCAAACATGGATCTGCAAGTCAACACTGGGGCTGATTTTCATCTTCAACGGCTCAGCAGGGGAAGCTGCATATTTTTGCCTCATTAAGAAAGACTGGTGACTGTCATGAGGCAGTCCTTTGTGGGGGGGGGGGGGGCTGAGATTGTTTTATTACATCTTCTGTTCGCTTTGATAAATTCATTTAATAACCAAGCCAGCTGGATGCATCCAAGTACAGAAAGTGCATTCGGAGTGATGTCAAGCACAATGCAATGTGCCGCATCGATCGCATAAACAATAAATAATTATGGCCGCTTCCCGCGTGCAGAGAACGAGCAGCCGGCAAGCATCAAGACGCGCCAGCGTGGTCGCATTTAAATTACACTGAATTTCCACGAATCAATTTCCGCGCATTTTAAAATTATGCCGATACTCTCAAGTGAACGCAAGAAAATTAGCTCAACTGGTTAAAGAGCTATCGCTGACGTCTTCTGACGTGAAACAGACGGAACAAAAAAAAAATCGATGGCCACCCGACACGGCCGGCGAGAAGCGCGTCGCGTAATGGCCAACGCCGCCAGCCTCGGGTGTCACGACTTCCCTCCGCCGTTGAAAGGAGACTCTTCCCGCTGAGTGACAGGTGTTCTTCAGCGATGAGAGCTCAGCGTTTACAGCAGGCACTGGCTTAAGTGCAAAGATCCCATTGCCTCTGACCGCGGTGAAGCGTAGAAAACACGCACGCGACTCAAATGAAGTCTGCTACGGAAAGAAAAAAAGAAATTAATGCAGGGCGGCGAGAGATGATATCTTCTTTGTCATCTTGACCCACGGTGAGAAGTTACAGCTTCCTTATCGAAATTCTGTTTACAGCGGATGGAAGGTATTACAGGGATCACCTTTAGGCTATGAGTGTGAAACGTAAAATGCTTGATGAGGCAGACTTCTCTCCCCCTTAGCCTTTAAAGTCACCCTACCCATAATCCCCTGCAAGGAAAAAAAAAAAATATATATAAATAAATAAAAACACCTGAGGATAACTTGGAAATAGAAGCACTGGGATGATGTTCTTGGCGCTGGAAAAGCACAGAAACCAGAGTGGCGACCATTCCATTATCCGTGAGTTTGGCAAGAAGACTCCGGTACTCGGACATTAAAATGTTCCTAAGTGCTCTCAACAACTAAAACTGTCCATTCCCAGTTTTGTAGGGTGTCTGTGGCCTCTGTTGGGAGAACATGGCTGTAAAACATAACACAGGATGCGACCTCCTGCACAGATCCAAGGAACATAACCAAATGTTGCTTAGAAAACACTCAGTGTCGCACTGACCCAAACAACATGACCTGAGATGTTAGTATCGGTAATGTTTACAACACCTTTCTCAGTATTATCCGTTTAACATTAAAAAATTCAATGAGTTGGGGGGAAAAAACATGCAAAAAAGGAGGTGATACGAGAGTATTAGTCAGTTTTGACAGTTTTGTGGAGGTGGGATGAAACATGTAAATATTAGAGGTAAAACAAAAAAAAAAAAAAAGAATTCAAGCAAAAAAACCTACGAAAGGTTTTATACAAGAACGAGGAGGGACACGGAACACCAAGCAAAAAAAGATCAAACACATCCATCGAAAAACAGGAGGGAAAAATTCTTCAATTTTAAAAAAGGACAAGAAAATGAAGAGAAGCAAACGAGGGGAAGGAAAAAAAAGAACTGGAGAGTTTCCTTGTCATGCATATCAGTTTGGCATCAAAAAAAATACCTTCATCCTCAGCATCGTCATTATCACTTAAATCATCATTCTGTTTCTTTGAAAGGGGACCTAGAATCAAGAATGGAGAAAATGGAGGAAACAGTGCATTTAAGAGCGGACAAGCCAGAAAAAAGGCACCGTATTACAGAGAGGCTTTACTTTAGGTGTCCTTATAAAGTCACAGTCCCCAGACAAGAAAAGAAAAAAAAGAACACATTCATCTGATGTAAAGACAACTGTGCGATAAGAAAGTTATTCAAAGATGTGTAACACCAAAAACCACACAGAGAAAAAAATTACTCAGAAACAAGTTCTGCATGCTTTCAAATTGTTAAAAGAGTGACAGGATTAAAGATATAATATTTTGGGTTTATTAATATTTTTCACTTGTCTCCATCATCCACAAACACACTGAAGATCCACCGGCTCGCCACAGTCATTCATGCCGCCTTTGAAAACTTTCTGCTTTGTATCACGTCGGAAATGTGCTGAGATTGAATGCAGCCACTCCACACAAGTTCATACCAACCTTGAGAAGGAATCGAAAATCAAAAAACGCCCTTAGGGTAAAAATCCAAGCACTTTAAGTGAAGCGGTATCGCATTTAGCAATGGTTGCCAAAAATGCGGGCAGGGTCACTGTCTGATATATAAAGCAGGAAGTTATCAAAGGCTACGGTGGATTATTGTTCCTGGGATATAGTTCTAAGGGTTACTGGGGGAACAGGAAACGTGTTAGCAGGACAGAGAACGAGACACTTCAGAACCAGCCTAATTCCCTTATAGCAGAGGTGGTTGGTCCAGAGAGCTAGAGGATGTTCCTCAATATTTGAGATTAAATTATGAAATGAGTAACTCATAAATAGATTTTTATTGCCTTTTAAAAACACATTTTTTCTCTTCTTTGGAAAAACCCCTGTATTTCTGTAGGAGTAATTCTCCTGTCTGTGAGAATTACTCCGGTAAATTCTGTAAAATGTATTATCTTCTTACCTCCTCAATTTATTTATTTTTTGCCACCAGCCACCACTGGTTCATCGGTACTTTTCAGAGACAGGAATGAAACAGAGAAAGCAGCAAAACATGCATGTGCAGGACAAGACACACACACACACACACAAGTGACATATTCAAAACAATCATGCAAAATATACGAAGATCACAGTAGTGTCTATTAAACCTTACAATCGATAACCAGTGTCACATGGAACACTTCTAAAAGCAGAATATAGTCGTGCTTTTTTAATCTCCCACATTCATTATACATTTTCCCACCCTTTTGCAGTGGCTTAGTTACAGTCGTCATGACAACACCTTTCTGCATGGCTGAAAGTGTGTAAAGAAATAAAGTTTGCTCGTGGCAGTACTTGATGATTTTACATAACGAATTATTCCAATGGCTGAAAATGAATTAATGGCAATGCCAGAGTTTTATATTTTTTAAAAAGCACCCGTAACAGGCTTCCATTTTCCAGACAAAAAGGACTCAAACATAATGCAATAAGACAGCACTTCAGAAACTGCTATAAAGGCATTGTCTCATAGTGGCAATATCTTCACTGTACAGGTGAATTTAACCAGAAGGAACACCATCATAAAAACTTTAATAAACACATATGATGCAGACCAGTTTGTCCAATAGCATTTGGGGGGACTGTAATTCTGCTGTAATCACACCTTTAGAGTACTTCTATGAAACAATACTGGATATTGCCAAAGTGAATTGAAGAAATTACTTTCAAATCTGATAAAGGATATAGTGAAATACAAACGCAGGTGAACTGAAATAACTATGAGATTCCTTTGAAATTTAGCGAAGAAACAGACTAAATTCATCACCTAGAGAGATAAGAAGATCAGCAATCAGACAACTGGGATACACTCTGACCTGTGCCATAGAGTGATGGAAAACAGTGGAAAGGGAAGTCTACAATGGATGGGATTACTGTCAATCACCAGCTGGTTTAACCTACATCCCATTGGCTCTTATTAGGACTCCTATTAAAGATTACCATCCAGCACATAGCATATGAAGTTACTATCCATGAAAGGTGGAATTAATCCCTTTCACCTGAGAGAACATGACAAAAACTGGGGAAAAGATTAATACCTAGAGAAGATCCAAAGCACCGCTTCAATTGATCCATATCTCTATCCCCAAAGATGAACATGTAACACACAGCTAGAACTAAAAATCACATCAATGACACATCAAGCGTACCAGGCTGCATGCCAGTTAAAGATTGGGAACCATAAACTGAAGGTTGCTTGGACGAGGTCTGCTGTAATACAAGCTACTTGCCTCGGCCTTTTCTAGTAAAACATCCAGCAATTTAAATGATAAAACCACATGTTGCTTTGGAAGAACTGTTAAAAAACACTTAGTCTTTCAATAAATAGGGCCCTAGTGAGTAGTGACCAGGGTTTAAAAAAACTCCAGGCAGAGAGTGTTTTGGTTTGGTACCCATCACAAATGCAACAGGTCTTTCTGAAAGCAAGACAAGGATAAGCACTGAGGCTAAAGAAATGAAACATGCCAGGTTCACAGATCAGAACCTGTTTGTGGGGGCTTCAGCTGTCACTGAGATTTAGGGGGTGCGCGGAATCTCGACGACTCTAAGTGAGAGGGCTTTCTTCAAACTCAACTTTTCAACTGCCGAGATTATCTGACAGACAACTTCATCTCCACGCCACCGAGAAGGACACCCGGCCCAACGTGATTTGTCTTCCAGGATATCTCACTTCAACAATAAAATATGCTCCTTCACAAGAACTATTTCATCCTGCTGGCGACCCCAGGAGCCGCTGAAGTGGCGTTTCTGACTCGAGTCACTTCAGTGGTCACCATGGACTGTTTTTGGATATTTACTAAACCCGCCTCTGACCCTCAGCGACTTGGTCGATCAACAAGATGTTCATTCAATCAAAGTTTCAGCTACTATCAACAAGAACTTAAAGCATGTAACAGAAAGCCTGCTGCTGATCATTAATTGTTACTGTTGATGACATTACTGCCATCAACCAATGATACTACAAGGAAGGGATTTTGCTAAAGTACATTTTTAAGCAGGTGCACTATAAAATTCAAATTGAGAAAGTTTGTTTAAATGTTAAAGTTAAAAACGACTTAGTAAGAAGGTAATTAATGAGTGGCAGGCATTTATCACTGGTTGATTAGTCTAATTATCAGTCTAATTACCCCAGACATAAGTGCTAAATGCCTCATGGCTCTGTACAGAAGGCTTATAAGTACAGGAGTTTTAGAAGAGTTTAGAAGCACAGATATAATTGTTAATGCAAAACAGACAAAGCAACGTTGCTGTTCATGCTGAAACCCCAATGGTTAGGGAAGCACACTTGTAATTGAAAGATTGCAGGTTCGAATCCCTGACTAGCAAGGCACCACTGAGGTACCCTGAGCAAGGTACCGCCCCCAAGCACTGCTCCCCGGGCGCTGAATTAGCTGCCCTCTGCTATGTCACAATGTCACATATGGGTTAAATGCAGAGGACACATTTTTTTGTTGTGCACTGTGGTGTGGTGTGTCAATAATGACCAAAAAATTCTAAAATTACATTTCAGACAATGGCAAAAAGTTTTATGGATAACACTTTACTGAGAGGGTACAAATGACATAGTATTAAGCAATTACTTAAGTATTAATTAACCACAAACTAGGTCTTAGTTACATTCTGATCTCATGTTCATTCATCATTAATGAATCGTGACACATAATATATTTGTTACTGTGTTAAATTTGTAAACCTTTGTGAACTACTGAAGGAACTATTGAAGGAAAAAGTAATTACACAAGTGAAATACTGATCTTCTGTTTGTTAATCATTAATAAATCAGGATGCATCTTTTATCTCTAGTAGCTACTATATTTGTTCATGATTTGTACTTCAGTAGTAACTGAGTCTTTGTGTCCCCTCATGGAACATCAGTTTATGACATATTACTTATATTAAAATGCTTCAGTTTTGTTTTGATTCAATATACATGCTAATTCAAATATATATATAGAGAATATATAATCAGAATAGGATCAGAATACTTTGCATTGAGTGACTTTAAGAATGATTTTATTAGTAATATACATTAAAATATACTGAATGTAAAAAAAGTGCAGTTACAAAACTTACTTTATTTTCAGATGGATATATTTTCATTAAATTGTTACACGTCTCCAGGTATTATCTGAACTGTCATGGTAACCGTATATATTCCTAGTTTGCTGTACCATCAATCTAAAAACCGACCTGCAGACAATTCTACAGAATAATGAATCCCCACAGCACTTCTGTTAGAACTGCACACATTTTTCCTTCAATTGTATAATTGTGCAAAATGACGATAAAATATTTCTTTTAATTGTTTTAAATAGTGTTTTACAATAAATATTGTCCACTGGTTTGCATAGATAACAGTATGAAGCTGGTCGAGTTTATTTCTGGAGATGCTACAAGTCATATATTGTCAACTAAAATTGATGATTTGTTTTTTTATTTATCATTCTTGGTTCAGGATGAGAAAGGAGCCGCATGATTGCTGTGGGATTCATAAGATTCACCAGTTTGGATATGAACGTTTTTGTCTGCGGGCCCGCAGACAGAACCGATTCACAAAGGTCCCTATTAGCTATGTAAGGTGAACAAACAGGTTCCATAAAAGCAAAGCCTTCTGTCTGATGACAGAGGCCATTTGCTCCCTCTAATGAGCAGCAGATATCAGTTTTAAGCAAATGGCATTTTTCATTTGCATTCTGAAGACACGGTTGACCAGCTCAAATGGAATTTCTTTTGGTTGGTTTAGAAACATTACATTTTGATCCATTTTCATTAGAATGATTTATAAGCTGGGTAATACCCACAGTACTTCATAGCGAACTAGATGCGTTTAGTAATTATCAGTGTGTGAGGTAAATTGGAATAAATTATCCCTTTGATTTTACATCTGAGGGCTGAGTTTATTAGT